GTGACCTGCTTCTTCCCTTTGGTACTCTATCTTGGACATTTTCCCACAACAATACATGTGGTTCTACATCATCTTTGGTAGCTGTACAGAATCCTATTGCCTGATACTTCTTATTTTCTTTTTTAAAAAATTCATATTTTTGATTTCAGAGAGAAGGAGAGAGAGAGAGAGAGAGAGAGAGAGAGAGAGAGAGAGAAATATCAATGAAGAGAGAGAGTCATTGATTGGCTGCCTCCTGCATGCTCCCTACTGGGGATCGAGTCCACAACCCAGGCATGTGCCCTTGACCGGAACTGAACCGGGACTCTTCAGTCCACAGGCTGATGTTCTATCCACTGAGCCAAACTGGCTAGGGCTACCTTAGCTATTTTTATTTAATATATCATGAGGTTCAATTCCTATTAATACATTGGATCTCCCTCGCTGTTTAACAGCCACTTAGTAGTCTGATATATGGATATACCATAATAATTTATCAAGTTTCCCTAATGATGGATATTTAGGTTGTTTACAGCCTGTTAAGAAACATCTTTAGCATGCTCCCAGATGTGTAACTCAAATATGACTGAGAAGGACAACAAACAAGCTAAAAACCTCTCAGAGTAGACAACAGAGACAAAAAAAGGGCAAAAAACCTCAGCCGAAAAAAGAGGGCATGGGCAAAAAAAGTCCTCCTAGAAAGCAGAACCTGGGGCTGCTAGATAAACCAAGGAAATTTCTCTTCCACCAGGGCAGGGACTCTGCTATTCCTGTCCAGTAAGATTTGATTACTGCTTTTCCAAATGGGAATTTTTACTATAATTCTTACTATAATTATTTCTCTATCAGTATAATATCGGAGGAGGGGGCATTTAATTTTTGTTTTAGTTTATGGGGCTCCACATAGCAGTGTGCCATATCCAGACCTGTTAAAAGATCTGAAATTCCCCAGAAGTCCTGAACTTTCAGCTGAGTATACTAAAACTAGATGACGAGGTGAGTGTATTCTCATTTGGGGAAAAAGAGAGATATTGGAGGATGGACTATAGCAAAGACTATTAATGACTGCATATTTATTCTCCTGTTCTTCCTGCCAGAAGTCCAATATTGTTGGGTATGAAACTATTTAGGCAAAATTCTGTATTTCCTGACCCTGCTACAGACAAGACAGTCATGTGATACAGTTTGGCCACTGAGATCTAAGCAGAACTCACAGGGTGAGGTTCACAGGAAAGCTCTTTAAATGGAGTCTTAGGCAGCATGTAACATTTTGCCCTTTCTTGACTGGAGCCTCTTTGACCATAAACACACACTAAGAATGTCTGGGTAGAAGAGCG